TGAGCAGTGTAGCAAGTACCTCAAAAAAATAAAACAAGGTGGGTATGGTGGGACATGCCTATAATCCCAGTACTAGGGAGGCCAGGGCCAGCCTGGGCTTCTGCCTCAAAAATACAGAAGGGAGGAAGGAAGGAAAGAAATTAGAAAAAAATATCAACAAAATTGATAAACCTAGACTGATTAGGGGAAAAAAGAATAATTATCAAAATTAGGAGTAAAGGTAAGGATTAATACTTTATCCAAAAGACAAAGATTACAAGGATATGATGGGATATTATGAATAATTGAGAATATAAACAAAATTTTTAGACAAATTCCTGGAAAGTTAATTACCAAAACTAAGGAAAAAAATAGAAAAATCTGAATAGGCCTATAACAACCACATTCAGGTCATAACTTAAAACTATTTCATAGCCATGGGAACCTGAGATGTACTTCAGTAGTAGAGCTCTTGCCTAGCTTTCACAAGGCCCTGGGTTCAATCCCCAGCATGACAAAAGAAAAAAAAAAGAAAATTGCCCCACAGAAAAAAGCCCAGGCCTTGGTGGTTTCACTGGTGAATTTCATCAGCTGTTTAAAGAAGAAATAACAGTCCTTAGTAAACTCAGAAAATAGAGGGAACACTTCCCATAAACTCATTCTGTGAGGTTAGTATTACCCTAATATGAAGACATCACAAATAAAAGAAGTCTACAGATCAATATCCCTCAGGAACAGAAATGTAAGAATAGTTAACAATATTTTAGCAAGCTGAATCCAGAACATACAAAAGTATTTTAGAGCTGGTAGAGCACTTGCCCAGCATAAACAAAGCCCTTGGTTTCTATCCCTAGCACCCGGGGAAGGTGAGGATGATCTTAGACCATAATCAAGTGGAATTTTTTCTCAGAAATATAAGTTGGTTTAATATCTGGAAATCAGTTAATGCAATATACCATAATAGAATAATTGGTAGAATAAAGCTAGGATCAGTAAATTTTTTTCTATGTGGGGCCAGATAAGTAAATATTTTAGACTTCTTAGCCCATAGTGTCTATAACAGAGTATAACTAGAAAAGTAGCTTTAGGGTTGGAGGCATGGCTCAAGTGTTAGAGCATCTGCCTAGCAAGCACGAAGCCTGAATTCAAAATCCAGGTGCCACAAAAGCAGCCTTAGACAACACATAAATAAGCATGGTTGTGTCCCAATAAAACTTTTGTTTCTGGCTATGAAGACTTGACTTTCATTTAACTTTACCATGTCACAAAATAGTGTCTTTTTTTCAATTTTCTTTCAACCTTTGAAAAACATAAAAACCATTCTTAGTTTGTGAGCTGTGTAAAAATAGGCAGCAGGCAAGATTTGGCCTTTGAGCCATTGTTTGCTGACCTCTGGAATAAAGGACAAAAGGACAAAAACCACGTGATCATCTCTGTAATAGATGACCTCCAAGTAATTCTTGCCTGCTGGTATTTACACTCTTGTGTAATCCTTTCCTCTTGAGAGTTAACTGACTCTAGTGACTCATCTCTAATAGTATACTGCAAGAGATACTCTTGAAATGATGTTACAAAAAATATTCTGTCCTGCACTGCTTTCTCTTGGGGCTGTGGCTCTTGGGGAAGCAAGCTACCCTGCTTGAGTACTGTAGAGAGGGCTGCATGGCTAGGAACTGATGTCACCAGCCAGTAGCTAGCAAGCACCTGAAACCTACCAAAAGTCATAAATGAGCTTGGAAAGGGATATAAGCCCAGTTAAACTTTGAGGTGGTTGCAACCATTGGCCAGTAACTTGATTGGAGTCTTGTGAAAGAAAACAAATACATTATTAGGCACAGAAAAAAGCACATAACAAAATCCAGCACCCATTCATGATAAAAACAAATACAAACAAGGAAATTTCCTCATTCTGATCAAAGGCATTTATGAGGGCTGTGGTTGTAGCTTAGTGGTAGAATGCTTGCCTAGCCTGCACAGGGCCTTGGGTTTAATCTGCAGCACCACAAAAAGTTAAAACAAATTTTTTAAAAACTACCAATAACATTATACTTATATACTTAAAACATTATAGTGAAAAAGTAATGCTTTCCCCCTAAGGTCAGGAACAACAACACCACTTTTTGGTGTGGGGGCAGGGAGTATAAGGAGAGCACTGGGGATTAACCCCAGGGCCTTGAATGTGCTAAGCACACACTCTACCACTGAGCTATACCCAGAACCCAACACTGTTACTATTCAACATTGTATTGGAGGGTGTAGCCAATACAGTAAGGTTTTTTCCAAAAAGTGTATACTGGTAGAAACAATGAAGTAAACCTTTATTTGCAAATAATATAATTCTGTATGTAGAAAATTATAAAGAAACCACCTAAAATGCTAGTATTCATAAACAAGTTTAAAAAGCTCACTGGATATAGAACAGAATACAAAAAAATAATTGTTTCTATACATTGGCAACAAATAATCCAAAACTGAAATTAAGAAAACAATTTGAGCTGGTGGTGTGGCTCAAGTGGTGGAGCACCTGCCTATCAAGCATGAGGACTACGTTCAAACCCCAGTATTGCCACACAAACAGAAAGAAAAAAATCCATTCGTGACAACATCAAAAATAATCAAATATTTACAAATATATATTATAATGTACATATATTTGATAGTTACAAATAATTTTAATATAGAAATACAACATTTCTACACTGGAAACTGTCAAACATTACTGAAAGTTACCCAGGCACCGGTGGCTCACACCTGTAATCCTGGCTACTTGGAAGACTGAGATTGGGAAGATCATTGTTCGAGGCTAGCCTGGGCAAATGATTTTCAAGACCTCATCTCCAAAATAACCAGAGCAAAATAACCAGAGCCACTGGAGGTGTGGCTCAAATGGTAGAACACTTGCTTTTGCAAGCTTGAATCTCTGAGTTCAAACCCCAGTCCCACAAAAAAAAAAAAAAAAACAATTGAGAGAAATTAAAGATGTAAAATGGAGAGATGGTCCATGGAGTACATGATGTTGCCAAGATGACAAGACTTTCCAAATTAATTAATAGACTCAATGCGATTCCTAACAAAATCTCAGCAGATGATTTTTTGGGGGGAAAGTGACAGACTGATCCAAATTTTTATGTGGGAATGCAATAGCCAAAATAATTTTGATAAATGAAGAGCAACACTAAAGGAGTTATGCTTATCTAAGTCTTACTATAAACTACTGTAGTCAAGATCATGTGATACTGTTGTAAAAGATAGGTATGTATCAGTAGACAGAATTGATGAAAGGAAAGTAAACTCTTATATCTATAATCCAGTTCATTTTTAAGAAGTAACCAAGTTTCATAACCATAAAAAGAAAAGTCTTTTTCTTTTTAGTTTTTTTGCAACAGGGTCTTGCTGTGTATCCCAGGCTAGCCTGGAGCTCAAGATCCTCTGCCTCTACCTCTCAAGTGCTGGGGTGGTAGGCATATGCCACCATGCCTACCAAATGATGTTGGGATAATTGGATATTCGTGTACAAAAGGAACTTAGATCTTTAATTCACACTGTACACAAAAGTTTAACTCAGGAGCTAATGGGATGGCTCAAGTGGTAAGAGTGCCTGCCTAGTAAATATGAGGTCATGAGTTCAAATCCCCAGTGCAGCCCCCCCCAAAAAAAAAGTACACTAAAGTTAACTCAAAATTGGGCATGGTAGTATATGCCTATAGTCCCAGTACCATGGTGGCTGAGGAAGAAAGATTGTGAGTTTGAAGCCAAGACCCTATTTTAAAAAAAGAAAAAGAGGGAAGAATAGATGACATAAAAATAACATAATAGTAAATGTTGAGGTATAATGATGGAACATGTGGGTTTTCTTTATCATTCATTCTTGTGTAATTTGAATTTTTCCATAAGTTAAAAATTAAACTGAGACCTTGACTACTGTAGGAAAAGAGCCAGGTGCCAGTGGTTCATACCTGTAATCCCAGCTACTCAGGTATCCTAGCCACTCAGGAGACAGAGATCAGGAGGATTCACGGTTCGAAGCCAGCCTGTTTTCGAGACCCTATTCTCAAAACTATAAACATAAAAAAGGACTGTTGGAGTGGCTCAAGTGGTAGAGCACCTTCCTATCAAGTGTGAAGCCTTGAGTTCAACCCCAGTACCACCAAAAAAAAAAAAAAAGAAAAGAAAAGAAAATATAAAGGGAAGTAGGAGTATAAGTGGGCTCTAAGCAGTTAGAGTCCTTGCTTAGTATGTGTGAAGCCTTGAGTTCAACTCCAGTACCACCAAAAAAAAAAAAAAGAAAAGAAATTCAAAGGGAACTGGGAGTATAAATGGACCCTAAGTGATTAAAGTCCTTGCTTAGTTTGTGTGAGGCCCTGGATTCCATCCCCAGCAGCACAAAAAAAAAAAAAAAAAAAAGGAAGGAAAGAGGGGAGGAGGGAGGAAGGGATGGAAGGAAGGAACGAGGGAGGGAGGGAAAAAGGAAGAAAGGAGGAATTCATGAGAATGAGCAGCAATATTCTATAACTTACTTGTTTCACCCCAGTGTACACATCATTTGTATACCTTGAAAATACCCAGTTCTTTCACTACTGCCATGTAAAAGGTTTATCTTGAAGAGAGATTCAGTGAAAGGACAGAGGCAGGCTTTTGGTCCTTATGTTTGTCCACATGCTAGTAGTAGCTGGTTAGCTTTTTTGGTCTTTCTGGATTTGTAAAATACTCATAGACCTCTTAGAACTCATATAATACTAATAGCTATTAATATTTCCAGTGTGAATTAAGCACTATCTTTCTCTGATACATATTCTCAGATATAGCACAGCCTTTCTTTTACTTTGTAAATGGTATCTGCTTCTTCCTCTGTGTTCAGGTTCCAGGGTTTATAGCTGCTTTTCTGAGGGGGTGGGGGTGGGAGGAGATGAAAATTTTACAGTTCTGATACATACACACATATTTACTAAGAAATGTTATGTTATAGTAAAGATGTGTTCTTATTTTGTTTACTCATTATTTTCTCCTTTCTCCATTTTCAGTACATGTACTAGCCTTAGCAAGTTCTGTTCCAAACTCAGGCACCTTGACTTGGCCTCCTGTACATCAATAACAAACATGTCTCTCAAGGCTCTGAGGTAAATTTCTTATAATAAGTATATCTACTCATTCTTACTTTTTAAAAATAATTGATACACAGCTGGAATTTGAAGACAGCTATGCTTTATGAGTATATACTGTAGTTCCAGGTATATCTTTTATCTTATCACTTGCTCAGATTATAATTATAGGATATATCCTAGTGAAATGACCAGATTTCTGAACAAAGTAGTACAGTTTCTGTGTGAATTATTAGATCTTTTTCTTGGTAGTATTTGGGTTTGAACTCAGGGCTTCATGATAGCTAGGCAGGCCCTCACCACTTTAGCCACTCAGCCGGCCCTTTTTTCTATTGGGTATTTTTGAAATAGGTTCTCTCAAACTATTTACTCAGGGCTGACTTTAAACCATGATCCTCCTGATACCTGCCTCCTGAGTAGCTAGGATTCAGGAGTGAGCCACCGAAGCCCAACTAAATTTTTAGATTTTTATGAAAGCTTATTTTAAAAGAAAAAAGAAAGAAAAGATGCCACATGTTTTCTTATAGCTTAGATAATAGGTCTCTGGAGTCAGATTATTACTCAAGTTGGGTGAACACAACTCTTCTGAGCTTTATCTCAGCATTGTTAGTGAATTAGATGAGATAATATTAGGCTGAACTGTACAAAGTTGAGAATATATTAAGTAATTGTGTTATAAAAATAACAGCTTTATTACTATACAGAAAGTGTTCAAATTGTGTACCTGTCATATCTGTCATATGGTAAGCAATCAGTAAGTTGTTTTGTTTTGTTTTTTTATGGTACTGGGGATCAAACTCAGGAACTTGGGGTCTGGTACTTGCTAGGCAAGCCCTCTTCCACTTGAGCCACATTACAGTTCAAGTGTTAATTATTTTCACATTCATGTATTTTTAAAAGTATTTTACAGGAGATGTAGCTTAAAAGGAGTATGAAATGCCCATTTTCTTTGAGACCTTACATTTTAACCAGTGTTTTATAAATGATTTTATGGTCGCATAATCATTTATAAATGATTATTTGTTGTACTACATAGATATTAAGGTTTAAGGTATTAACTGGTGAAGTGGTCCAAGTGCTTGCCTAGCACTCATGAGGCTGAGTTCAAATCCCAGTACTGCCAAAAAAAAAAAAAAAGGACATAATAATTAAGCTATTAAAAGAGATACAGATTTAATTAAATTGAGTATAAGTAATCTAAAAATGTGGCTCCTTTTAGACCTTAATTGTGAATATTGAACATATACATATCTAAGACCATTTTCCATTTAGCGTTATAAATATGATAGCAACACTTGTCATTTATAAAGTACTTTCACATAAATGGTCTCTTTTATTTGAAAGCCTTGGGAGGTAGGTAAATCAAACATTTACTGATTGAAAAAAATGTAAAATGTTGTCAAGTGCCAGGTTCCATTGTTGCAGCCATGAGATGTGACTGAATAAAGATATTGTTGCTACCCTGAAGTTGCTCAGTCAAGTGAGAGAAAGATTTCTAAACATGTATCATATTACTGTGTGAAAAGCTGACCTTAATTCTGGGAGAACCTAGAAAGGGTTATGTCTAATCTTGGACTGAGAGGTTCAGGCAAGCTTCCTAAAGTCTTGCCTGAAGTCAAATTAATATTGAAGGATGAACTTGCACCCAGATCTCCTGTATTTACTTTCTGGACTTCTTCTGTAAACAGGAACACTTAAAATAGGTTTGCAGCCTTCCCAGAGATTATAGAAAGCTTAGGATTCTTCCATAGTCTAAATGTGAAGCTAAACTGATCAGAGCAGGACTGAGATGTGGCTCAAGTGGTAGAGCGCCTGCCTAGCAAGTGCAAGGCCCTGAGTTCAAACCCAAGTGCCATGCAAAAGTAAATAACTAAATAACTGATAAGAGTGAAGGGATCAAAGATGAAGCTAGTAGCTGTGAACTGGTGGCTCACAGCTGTAATCCTAGCTCCTGAGGAGGCAAAGATTAAGAGGATCATAGTTCGAAGCCAGCCCTGAGCAGATAGTTCATGAGACCCTACCTTGAAAATACCCAATGCAAAAAAGGGGCTGGTGGAGTGGCTTAAGTGGTAAAGCACCTGCCTACCAACCACAAAGGCCCTGAGTTCAAACCTCAGTATCACCAAAAAAAATAGAGCTAGTATTTCTAGTATTTTGAAGGCAGAGGTTGAACACAGTAAATCCTAAGTTCTGCCTACAGAAACAGTTCTCTAAAAATATTCCAGAGAGAAAACATACAGAGCCTTTGTAATTTTTTAAATAAAAGTTTAAAAGTCCTCATTATTACTTTGATTCTAATAGAATTGCCTAATGGAGAATCTGGGTTTGACTCTGAACTCGTTAATTACTCTGTAAGCTTAAATAAGGTCACTTAATTTCCATTTCCTACCTGTATCTAAAAAACCATTTTATGCTTCGTTGATTAAGCTGGGTTTGAGATGACCCTGCTAGTGATATAGTCCCACATGAACACCGCAAAAATGAGACTTGGGTGCCTTTGGAATTGGATATAGTGATATGCTTGTCTCATTTTGTTTTATTCTAAGTGAGGGGTGTCCACTGTTGGAGCAGTTGAACATTTCCTGGTGTGACCAAGTAACCAAGGATGGCATTCAAGCACTAGTGAGAGGCTGTGGGGGTCTCAAGGCCTTATTCTTAAAAGGCTGCACACAGGTAATACTCCATGTAGTGCTTGTGAAAATCCAGGGAGCCATGAGCTCTTTGTAGGCATCACCAAGATGTTTGTCTTGAAGGAAATGTGAGTTGTGAATATTACTAACCAAAAACATATGCATATTACTGAAAGTTAAAGTGTTTTCCTTAGAATCGAAGAAGAATTAACACCTGACCAAGGATAAGTGGGTGGGAGACGGTGTGGATAAGGTGGGGAAATACGCTTATACGCAGGATATACCACGAGCAAAAGGGTTTCATGCAGTTTAATCTATGCTGAAAAGAAAGTTTGTTTACTGCCTAGTACTTTGACCTGAATAGGCAAACAACACAGTCTTGCAGTCTTGGCAATTTTCCTTTGTTTAACACCAGGAATTGTTCTTAAATGTGCCGAGTGTACAACAGCCTGCATTTTTATAGTGTTTATGCTTATTTCCTGCCAGTCACGTCACAAGTCCCATACATTAAAAATTTTGTGAATGCAGTGTTTTACAGTGAAAAACGGAATTGACCAGATAGCATCTGAAAGATCTGAAATGATCAAAAGTGAATTTAAATGTCACTGATAAAATCAGGCTAGTTTCTTCCTTATTTTATTAATGGTTACTAAAGCCACACCTTGGATTCCGTTAGAAATGCCCTCTTTCTTTTACCATGATGGGAAGAGTTCCATTGCTTGAAATAGAGCTTTGGATATGACTGTCTTAAATCAGCAGCTTGAGCTTCAGTTATTTGTGGAATCCTTAAAAATATTGATTGGAATTCTTCATCATGATCAGTTACCATCTCTTCTCAGCACTATAGTGCCATTGATTTTCCAGCAGCAAATAAACACTGTAGATTCCTTTTTTCACTCCTTCCTAAAGTTTGTTTAAAAAAAAAATCTTTAGATGGGATGTATAAGTGTGAAAATTATTTTAGCTTCATACTACCTCTGCAAAGTACTGTGAGGGTATTTAACTTAGCAGAAATAATATCCACAAACAGTAGGTGATGTTTGTTTCATCTCTCACTTGATTTCATGATAATAATATGAATTTGATGTGGTAAGAACTGGGTTTTAAAAATACAGGTAACTATTAGTAATAGGAATTACACTGTTATGTGATTATAGTTTATTACTTCTGATTCATTATTCCTTTGAAACTTGGTTGGCTATATTGATAAATATATACTTTCTTAAATTTTTTCCTTTGAAGCAATGTCTATAATCACTTTTTCTTGTTTTTTAATCTTTGTAGCTAGAAGATGAAGCTCTCAAGTACATAGGTGCACACTGTCCTGAACTGGTGACTTTGAACTTGCAGACTTGCTTAGTAAGCATCTCTTCCTACCATGCTTCTGTATCAGTAATTCCTTTCAGTAATGTTGTTATGAGTTTCATCAAGACCAGTGACTTTTTTGCTACAACCCTAGGAACACATACACACACAGATGACTCTTAAATACTTAAGAAAAACTGTCCACTTCTTAAAAGTAAATATTTGTATTTAAAATACAGTCATACTTTGTAACAAAGTAAGATGTATCAGTGGGTCACAACTATGGAAAACCAGTGACTTAAAGAGGACAAACAAAATGTACCTTTTAAATTATTTTTAAGTAGTGTCTGTATTTAGAGTTTTGTTTTGTTTTTGTGACAGAGTCTTGTTATGTAGCACAGGCTGGTCTCAAATTCTCTGTCCTCCTGCGTCAGGTGTGGGCTACTGTGCCCAGCATATTTAACGTTTTGACTTGTTCTTTATCAACTTTTTTGTGTCTATCACAAGACCCCCAAATTTTACTCAGTTTGCTAAAACTGTTCAGGGGCCTTGAGCATTGACAATACACTTTTTCTCTCCTGTCTTGAAAATTATATAGTATAGTTGCCTTGGAATGAGAGCTCTCATAGCAAAGGAAAAAAGTTGATGGGGTTTTTTTGTATGTACTAAGCCTTCTGCTTGTTATATCCTCCCCTTGTTTGAGCATTTAGAATTTGAAAGCCTAGTGGTGGTTCAGTTTATAGATGATATGTAAAGAGCCACAGTTTATACAATTTAAACCACCTGCCCTTCCAGCCTTTGAGGTAAGGTGCTGATAATAATCTACTTAGGAAGCTTCTGGAGTTGAGTTAAAAGAGTAACACTTCCCTCTCTTTATATGGTTAGTTGGTTGGGGGTTTTGGTTTTGGTGTTTTGCTTGGTTGGTTTTTGGCAGTACTGGGATTTGAACTCATGGCCTCTGGCTTTCTAGGCAGGCACTCTACTATTTGAGCCAAGGCCCCAGCCTTTTGTTTTTGTTTGAGACAGGGTCTCACTCTATTGGCTAGGCTGGTCTTGAACTCCTGGGCCCAAGTGATCTCCAAGTATTGAACTACAGGCACACACCATTCTTCTTTTAATTCTGACTGCCCTTTCCTTATTATTCTTTTTTTGTATGTGTGTGCTAGGGACTAAAATTTTATTATAATAATGATAACCTCAGCTACTAACTGCCAGAATTTGCCTGAGACTGAAATGCTTTCCCTGAAAGAGTTAGCCCAACAGTTACTAATGTGTAACTGTACAGTTCTAGAAGAAAACTGTTTGTGGGCAGACTCAAATGAGGTGTGTGTATTTGTGTATACACATGCAGTATATTTACACACATGCACTATATATATAGTACACACACATAAATATATACATTCCATACATATATACCATTTTCTGGTTTAGTTTGGTTTTCTTTAACTTCTAGCAGGCAGGAATAATGGTAGGCATAAAGAACCAGTTCCGTCATCGTGTATTTTATTGTTTTCCTTCACATAAATCTTAATATGGTAGTCATTCCTTTATTGCAATGTGATGAAATGATTCTCAGCATTAATGAAAATTTGTGTTTAGCCCAAAACTATGACATGAATAAAATACAGTCTTGATCATTCCCTTTCTTAACTGATTTGAAAACATAAAAATACAGTAAATTTTACTACTTTTCACACTTTGGTGGCCAAGTGTGGTAGCATACACCCATAATCTCAGCCCTCAGTAGGCAGAGGCAGAAGGATTGTGAGTTGCTGGCCAACCTGGGCTACCTAGTGAGACTATCTCAACAAAGCAAAACAAAAGTTTGGGCTTTAAGTATTGGTAATATGTCTTAATTCATTACTCCTTTATAGACTTTCTTTTCTTTAGAGACCATCTCGGGGCACCTTCTCTTGGGACCTCCCCACCCACCTCTGGGGGCTTCTACTCTCCCACTTCACACTTTCTTTCTCAGTAAACTCTACAGACATTTACAGTGCTCCCCTGGCTAGGCTTCAAAACATAAGAAGGAAGTGCCAGGACAGCCCTATAATACTTTGCTAATATTGTGTGGCACAAATTTCAATACCTTTTAAATTTGCATGTTTGATTCCTGCTTCCTTCTTTACATCTCAGTCTCTTAGACTAATAACAGTACATCACAAAAAAAAGGTAGCACTTTTTTGTGCACTTCCACATGTATAAATACCTCATTATTTTATCCTTGTGGCCAATCATGTATCTGCCTTAGCATCCCGTTTTATCTGTGTTTGTGTCAGTTGCATGATACTGAGACCATGCAGATTGAAATAGTGGGTTTAAAAGTTAATGTTTTTTCAGTTGTCCTTGTAACTTAAGGGCATTATTTTATTAAACAGCAGTGGCAAGGGAGCTTTATTTTTAGACCTACCCAAAATTAGTGAATCTGAAAAGAAAAATTCAAGTGCTGGTAGTATCTACCATGTTAAGATATTTATTATAATTTTTTGAACTGGGGTCAAGCTATGTAGCAGGCTAAGTTTGAATTTGTGATCCTCCTGCCTCAACCCCCCACCCCCAACCCATGTGCTGGGATTGCAGGCTTGTACCACCATGCCTAGCTGTAACATTTTTTAATTGAAAAAAATTTTTTTTGTGGTACTGGGAATTGAATTTATGGCCTCACTTTGTTGTTATTGTTGTTGATGTTTTGTGGTACTCGGGATAAGACCCAGGGCCCTGCACATGATAAGCAAAAGCTACATCCCCAGCCCCTGTTTTGTTTTGTTAGCAGTTCTGGGATTTAAACTCAGGGCCTTGCTTTGCTAAGCAAGCATTCTACCACTTAACCCACACTTCCAGCCGCTTTTTGTTTTGTTTTTAATTTGAGACAGGCACTCATGAAATTGCCCAGGCTGGTGCCAAACTCCTGGACCTAAGTAATCCTCCTGCCTCAGCCTCCTGAGTAGCTGGGATTATAAACATGAACTAACACACTTGTCTTGTAACATATTTGGATGTGTTTCTTTTTCATTTTTAAATAATTTAACACAAAGTAATTTTTATTTAATTTTTTGTTTTTTGGCAGCACTGGGGTTTGAACTCAGTGCCTCACACTTACTAGGCAGGCACTCTACCACTTGAGCCACTCCACCAGCCTCCACAAAGTAATTTTTAAATAATGCAAAATTATGTCTGAGTTAAACACAGCTTTTTATTTTCATAAATTAGAATGTTCTTTATATTACAAAAATATAAAAACAAACATGGATGCTATGGTGAGATACAACTGTCTATTTTTTTCACACAACAGTTTCAGTTTTAACTTATAAATATGTCTGCTCTTAAAATATTGCTGTTCTTATCTTTTTTCTAGATTTTAAAATCATTTAATTGAACCTACATCATGACCCGACCTATGCTTTTCCCTATCTCATTAGGTTAAAAGAATCCCATTATATCTTCTTCCCTTACTAAAAGTAAGCACAGATTCTCTTACAAACTAAATTACGAGGAACTGGAAAGAAGAAACAAAATCTGTTCATTTTTCCCTTTGATCTGTTACCTGATTAATATTAAGCCTGTCTAGATTTCTCTTTGGTACTATTTTCACAGAGTTATTATTTTTTTCCTTTTTCTTCTGAGTTACTAATATCCGTGGGGTTTTTTTGCTCTTGTTTTTTAGCAAATCACAGATGAAGGTCTCATTACTATATGCAGAGGGTGCCATAAGTTACAGTCCCTCTGTGCCTCTGGCTGCTCCAACATCACAGATGCCATCCTGAATGCTCTAGGTCAGAACTGCCCTCGTCTTAGGTAAACATTTCTTATTAGCTCAAAAAAATCAAAGAAGGGGGAAAAGCCTCCTTCACCCATATTTATTCTTTGGAAATTTGAAATTTTGAGGTAGACACTGAAATGTCACTATACTTATAGATGGCCACCAGCCTGCTTTGTAGTTCAATTACATGTAATTTGCATGAACCCAGAGGGACAGTTCCCAAATCCAAATATTAGTTATCATTACTAGGGAAAAAAAAACATTTATTTCCATTACTTGCAATGAAATAAAGGTATTTTCTTTTATTAATGCTTTCATATAATTCCTTTCTCAAAGTTTTTCAAGGTCCTCTCAGAGGCCATCTAAATCATAGTAATGATGCCACCTACCTAAAAAGATAATGTTTTTAAAGCAAGCCAGGTGCCAGTGGCTCCTAGCTACTTGGGAAGTAGAGATCAGGAGGATTGCAGTTTGAAGCCAGCCCAGGCACATAGTTCTAGAGACCCTATCTTGAAAATACCCAACACAAAAAAAAAGAAAAAAAAGAGGGGGGGCTGGCAGAGTAGCTCAAGTGGTAAGAGCACCTGCCTAGCAAGTGTGAGGCCCTGAGTTCAAGCCCCAGTACTGCCAAAAAAAAAAGACCAGCTCTACAGGAAGACTTACTTGGTGCCAGTGGTCTTTTAGAACAGCCAAATTTCTCTCTGTCTCCTCTCTGTTCAAATACAGAATTGGCTGGATATTTACTAAGAATTCTGTGTTAGTATGCACATAGTGTCAAACCTGTACTGATTCTGTAAGAGCATATACTTGCACACACGCATGTAATGAGTAGGGATAATCCCATGGATCTTTTATGTTTTTTAGAATTAATACTTGCATAATACTTGTAAGTTAGGTAATGTTTTAGGTGCTTTACAAATATTAATTCTTAATCTCCATAACATCATATAAGCACTGTTATATCTTCATATTATAGAAGAGAAAACCAAAGCACGGGGAAGTGAGTAACCTGTGTAAGATCTTACAGCCAGTAGGTACAGGAACAAGGATTCAAAACCAGGCAGTCTGGCACCAGAGCCCATGAAACATGTACCTTTCTTACCTATCATAGTATTGTAAAGCAACAAAACTTTCTAAAAACTTATTTTTCATAATTGCCTAGTGGTGGGCCTAACCTTAACTATTAAAAGAACATTTGCCTGCAGTATCAAAATTCCTTCGTAGATTCTAGTCAAATGGTTGGTCAAAATCAGTAATATCAGAAGCCTGGACTAGAGTATTTCTCAGGAGCTAAGGTGGTAACCAGACTTCTCTGTAGAAGCCCTACACATTATCCTTTTCTATTTCAAAACAAGAAGTCTTCAACTCCAATACCCTTTGTGGTTCATTATATTTTTAGAATGGAAAGGCTTTCAAATCTGACAATCAAAAGTTTTGTTCAGTCAGATCACGCTCTCCCATTGGATATAGCATTCACTTATAATTGCTTTTTAGTTGATAAAAAATCAGCTCTAATTCTTAAACTCTGGTTATAATTTGTTCAAAAATAGGTAAATGTTCTTTGGTATCATTATACAATAGAGAGGTCACCAGACTTTTCACAGAAAAAAAGCTACTTTTAATTTCCTAGTCCTGTGGTTAGTATTTAGGTTGGTATTTAGCACTTGCTAAATTGGAGAGTGGCTACCAGCCCTGCTTCCCTCTCCACTGGGCCTCCCTGGGAGCCTGTGGGAGGAAGCAGAAACCTTTCATAAGTATGAAATTTCATTTTTGGGACAGACCTGTAATTAAGCTGTCCCTCTACTGCTTTTTTTTTTTTTTTGGTGGTGGTGGTGGTGGTACTGGTGTTTTAACTCAGGATCTTGCAGTTGCTAGCAGCCACTCTACCACTTGAGCTACACCTCCAGCCCCCTCCATTGCATTTTTAAAAAGCTATTAAATCTGTGTGACCCTACATGTAAAACAAAATTTACTTCCACAACAGATTAACTGAAATAGAGTATTTATCTCCATTTCCTTTGTTTTCTAGGAGCAGGCTGCCCTCTGGGGGTAAGCAGTATGCCATCAAGAAGGCTTTTAATGAATTTTGGCATTAACTACAAGCTTCAGTTATATTCCTGTGTTCTTTGATTGCATCACCCTGAAATGTGGTATTTACAGGACCACTTTATGATGACTCCATGAAAATAAATAGCAAGATCTGTATACAGACTTGCTTGACTGTTAATGTCACTCTATATTATGAAATTATTAGAGAATAGGAGATTTGTTTTCTTAAATTCTTGCTGTTTGAATAGAAGCATTTTTCAAGGACCAAGAGCTTGACTTTCACATTGTTTTTTAACAGAATATTAGAAGTGGCAAGATGTTCTCAATTAACAGATGTGGGCTTTACCACTCTGGCTAGGGTAAGTGTTTTCTCCAGGTTCCATACATTTGTTTCTGTAGGTTTCGTTGGGGATTTTTTTTTTTTTTTTCAGAAGAATAAGCAGCAAGGAAAATGTATCCTGGCAGCAGAATTGGAGGGGTGTGACAGGAGAGCTCTCTGTGCCTAGTCTTTCTAAGCATTATCATGCTACAGACACAGACCTGCTGATGCCAAATGCACACATGCATTAGAGAACATGACACTCCTTAGCGAGACTTAAGATGGTAAATTAAACTAAGCAGGCACTTTCTTGTGATTTACAAATCACTATATAGTAATAGTATTTAAATTATACTGACTTTGACCAGTTTTACAGAACAGGGGGAATGTCATTCACTTTCAGGCAGTTCTATAGAATACTAACTGGATAAGGGCCAGCACACCCAACTAAAGGAGGACATAAAGCCTGCTTCCTCTCTTTCAAAGAAACAATTTTTATTATTTCTGGTTGAAGAGGATCTGTGTATTAGACCAGGATTAATGTTCAGCAAATGTATTCCCTTGGGCTTGTAAGATACTCAGTATTTAAATATGGAATAACTGAGAAATTTCGCTGGGATAAAAATTCCCCATCTCACATGCTCAAGCCTTTTAAATGTGTAATTAATGGAATAAGATAGAAAATGACACTGTATGACAGCAACTTTCAAACACAATTTCATTAGTATATTTAATACCACCTCTTAGTTTTATAGTCTTAAAAGTTGTCCAGTATCTTAAAAGTTTGTACTGTATTGTTTGGTTTTGTACTTTGTAGAATTGCCATGAGCTTGAAAAAATGGACCTGGAAGAATGTGTTCAGGTAAGATTTTTATTCACAAATACAGTGTGATAGAAAAGAAACTTATTTAACAGATGCACATTAGCATGCCCAGTGCCCGCCCCCCAGTGTAGGATACTGAAGCACCTGGCAGTACCATTGATTCTCAATTTATTAAGGTGTCTTCCAGGCACATCAGGCAGAGATGTTTATGGTGTATGTATAAAGAACTTTGAAAATATATGGAACTGGGGCTGTAGCTCAGTGGTAGGGTACTTGCCTAGTATGTGTGAGGCCTTGGGTTCAGTCCCCAGTACTGGAAAAAAAATGCTGAGCATTGTGGTACACACGTATAATTCCAGCACTGAGGAGACAGAGGCAGGAGAATCTCAAATTCCAGGCCAACCTAGGCTATGTAGCAAGACCCTATCTCCAAAAAAAAAAAAAGAGAGAGAGAAAAAGAGAAAAGAATATATATGCCCTTACAGAGAAAGGGGACACCCAAGTGTTCAGCCCATAAAGTTGTTAAAGGATTTCCTTTCCTAATGCCAGACATTGTGGCATATACCTGTAGTCTCAACTACTTGGGAATCTGGAGCAGGAGGACTGTTTTGAGGCCAACCTGGGAAATGTCTTTTGAGGACCTTGCTTCAAAAGAAAAAAAATTTCCCTACAGAGTTACATATGGTACTAGTAAATACTCATACTCATCTTCTCTTTGTTTTAAACTTGGCCCTGGGTCCCTTACTCTAACTGATGAGTTAGAGTTTAATATAGACTCTGATACAGACTTTCATCAACAGTTTATTACCAATTTTAACATCTTTAAGATTATAGTGATTCGGAAGAAACTTTTGAGGGGTGATTCCAAGAAGGAAGATCGAGTAACAAAAATTTTAATGGTGAAAATAAAGAATATCTACTATGCCTGAAGCCCTGAGTTTGACCCTTAGCACCACCAAAAAAAAGCAAAGAATGAAAAATACTTCTATAACTTTATATAAATGCCACTTTTTTTGGTACTGGGGCTTGAACTCAGGGCCTTCATCTTGATCCACCCCACCAGCCCAATTTTTTGTGATGGTGTTTTTCGAGATAGGGTCTCTCCAACTATTTGCCTGGGCTGACTTCAAGCTGCGATCCTCCTGATCTCTGCCTCCTGAGTAGCTAGGATTACAGGAGTGAGCCACTGGTGCCTGGCAAACTGCCATTTTTTTAAAAATTACTTATTGTCCAGACATTACTTAGCAGCTATTATTTGTGATGCTAGGGATCAAACCCAGGGCTTAATACATGATAGGTAAGCACTCTGCCACTGAACCACACCCCAGCCCTGTTAATTCTTCCTCTTCTTATTTTTTTAAGTCAGGGTCTCACTATGTAGCCCATGTGGACCTTGAACTCAGGATTTTCCTGTTTCAGCCTCTCAAGTGCTGGGATTACAGGCTCAACCACCACTCCCAGCTTAATTCTTATTAAATTAAAACTTTTCATATCCATTTATATATCTCTCTCTCGCTCGCTCTCTTTTTTTTTTTCTGGCAGTACCGGGGTTTGAACTCAGGGCCTCTCACTTGCCAGGCGTATGCTCTACCACCTGAGCCACTCTGCTAGCTCTTTTTTTGTGTTGGGTATTTTCAAGATAGGATCTCATGAAGTGTTTGCTTGGGCTGGCTTCAAACTGCCATTCTCTTCTGATCAGCTAGAATTACAGACATGAGCCGCCAGCACCCAGCCCACTTATCTTTTATACATGCCTCAGTGTCCTCTATCCTTTTTAGTATTAGTCCTTCTGAAGGATATTCCTGCCTACTCCACCCATAATTTCTTAGCCTCTGTGAAGCTGTGTGTAATAAAAATAAGAATCGGAGATAAGTTCAAAAAGAAGCACTGGTTTACTTCCAGTCCAAAGATAAACTGCCATTCTTGGGAACATAACTGACACCTACTTTATCAATCCTGAGTTGTGGTATGCCTTATTAAAAATAAGTCAAATATCATTAATTTTTTTTCATGGACCACTGTCTTCTGATCCATTTCTTTAATGGTTCTGAGAAGATAGAACAGGATCTAGTGGTTCAGTTCATAAACACAACAGAATTTTAAACAAAGGTATCCAAAGATACTAGAAAGACCTATAGATGTGTTTGAGCCTAGCCTGGATAAATTCTAAAAAGACAGACACAGGAAGCCTATAGGAGTTAAATCTTAAGGTTCTATCATTTAGCTCACTAAAACTCTTAAAAAGGTGAGTGGGATTTAGGAAAGAATAGTAGAGGGGCTGAATTTGATCAGAGTATGTGCATGTATGGAAATGAAACCCATTTGTACAACTAATTTATGCTAATTTAAAAAAGAAAAACCCTTAAGGTTCTGTTACCTGATGATGTCAAGACTAGAAGTGTAGTCAAGAGTGAGGTGTGGCCCATGGAATTATACCTAAGATAATGGTATAATTTTACCTATAATAAACTTGTGTGTTTCTTTCAGATAACAGATAGCACATTAATCCAACTTTCTGTACACTGTCCTCGACTTCAAGTATTGGTGAGTTTGACTTTCAGAGTTTTATATACCTACCAGATTTAATCAAAACAGTGCTGAGCTGGGGATGGTGGTGCACACCTGTGATTCCGGCACTCAGGAGGCTAAGACAGGAGGATCACTAAGAGTTTGAAGCCAGCTTGGGCTACACAGTTAAGACCCTGTTTCAAAAAAAAAACTAACAAAAAGAATAAGGCTGGAGGTGTGGATCATGTGGTAGAGCACCTGCCTAGCAAGCATGAGGCCCTGAGTTCAAACCCCAGTACCATCAAAAAGAAAAAAACCAACAGAACCACTTGATGCTTTACAGGGGAATATTTCCTTGCTACTTCTTTCAGGGATTCTGTAGGAAGGTATTTTGGCTGACTGTTCTGTATACAGGACAAAATATAGAGTATTTTTAATGTGTTTGGTGACAGTACTCTCCAAAATTGGGTCAAGGGTTCTGATTTCCTAGAACTAGAGATTTAAGGAAGATTTATGAGGAAAGTATGTATGAAATGATCATCACACCTGACAGCTATAAAAATCATCTTTAGTTAATTAATTGTTGGGTTAGACCTTTATACCAGATTTTCAGTATTTAGTTCAAATTCCAGATAATGTGTTCATGAAAAGCTTCACCCCTACTTGTCCCTGTAGAGGAAAAAAGTGTTAATTTGGGGAGGGAGTAGTTCACAATCATTACATGAATTCACAAAATATATTTAGAATTACACAAAAAAGTCAATTATTGATGCCAAAAGTAGAACCCTGTCAAGTCTAGCTTGTATTCTTCATTTTATCGTGAATGGATCAGGCGATGTTTCCATATTCATCAAAATCAAACCATAAAGGTCTTCTTCCTGATTTACACAAGCCTCTGGCTAGAGGAATGCCAGAGATATTTCATCCTTCTTTGCTCTATTTGGCTGCAGAGTTTATCTCACTGTGAGCTGATCACAGACGATGGAATTCGTCACCTGGGGAACGGGGCCTGTGCCCATGACCAGCTGGAAGTGATTGAGCTGGACAACTGCCCACTAATCACAGATGCATCCCTGGAGCACTTAAAGAGCTGTCACAGCCTTGAGCGGATAGAACTCTATGACTGCCAGCAAATCACACGGGCTGGAATCAAGAGACTCAGGGTAAAGACGCTGTATCACTCTCCAGCTCTGGTGTTCTCAGCACCCTTTCTTTTCTTTTCTCTTTTCTTTTTCAGATTTAGATTCTTGTGATTTTTATATTTATTTGGACGTTTAGCAAGGGGGAAAATGGGAAGCACACAAACATAAGGGTAAATAGTTTTTATTCATGGTTCCAGATGGAAATTGAATAGGAAAATACCCACTGAAGAGAAGAAAAGTAGGTCTCTTTCCAGTAGTTTATCTGGTAATATCCAGTCCTCAGTTACATCCCCAGATTAAAAAAAAAAAAAAAAATCACATGACAGATTTTTGTCCTACAGGAAAGAAAGCAATAACATAAAGAAAATGTTTGGTTAAATGGAATTTATGATTTCAATCTGTATTTCCTCTTCAATCAAACTCTTTTTTCCTGGGGTTCTTATTTTTTAAGAATGAATCATGTAGGTTTTTACTTTTTCTTTTAGCCTCATACTCCGTGGTAGAGGAGTAACAATTCTAGCCAAATGCCTAGAATTCAGGTTGCCAGCAGAGAAGTCATAAAAAGTGAATCTATGTTATTCAGCTCAAGAGTCTTTTATTGGAACATCTGCTTCAAACTTGCTTGAGGAGAGGTACTATGCTTAGTTAGGCCCTTACCACACCCTCTAAAATATCTATGTTGACCCTATAGCCTAGAGCAAATAAAGGAGCACCAAACCTTCTAGAGTTCTAGTTGGCTTCTAGAGTTCTAGTTGGCTTTAGTTCCTTCTCCCTTTTCAGACAGAGAAGGACAAGAGCATAGCTGCAATGGAGGAGACTTTGCATCAAAAAAGCTGAAAAGCCACAGGCCAACTAGAGCCTCTTGTTTGGCCTACTATATTAGGATATCTGGACCTGCATTCCAAAAAATGGAATCTCTTCCATTTTTTAATCTTCAGGAGATGGGTTTGTTGTTCTTCAAATCACTTAGCACTTTTATACTTAAACTTGCATGTCTAGACTATAAGCTCCTCAATGGCAGATCCTCATCTTGACTATTTTTTTACCCCATTTTTACTTATCACTTGATAAGTAGCACATAGTAGGCATTCAGAAATAGTAGCAAAGACTAGAAGCATGTTGTAAAAGAGGGATAATGAGGTTTTTTTTAAATATGAGAAAACAACATTGTCCACAAGGTCTTAGAAAAAATTATTTTAAGCTTGCATAGAGCTATGGGAATCTTAACTGGACACACCTTTGGGACAAGACAAGAAATTAGCATGATGTTTTCCCATTTTATTACTGTAGAAACAGGTATCAAAGTTTACATGAGCTGATTTGTCCATTTTGAACAGTGTAGGATGGAACAAAGTAGAATGCAGGCCTCTAAACATCCTAAGTCCTCAGCCTCTCTCCTGCTTTCACATTCACTCACCCCCTCAGTGGTTTTTCTGAGAAGCAACATTTTCTCTTTCTGTTTAAATCCTCTCTCTTAGTAATGTTTCTATCTTGTTTCAGACCCATTTACCCAATATTAAAGTCCACGCCTACTTCGCACCTGTCACTCCACCCCCATCAGTAGGGGGCAGCAGACAGCGCTTCTGCAGATGCTGCATCATCCTATGACAATGGAGGTGGTCAACCTTGGTAAACTGAGTATTAAATGACACTTCTAGAGTTACCGTGGAGTTTCTCCAATGGAAGCGACCCCAGCATTCTGGGCAAGGGTTACAAAGTGAGGGCAGTGTCCAGATCCCCAGAGCCACACATACATAGGCATACACACCCTCACTCCCATCTACTATAGTTCTGTGACCATGGGACTGAAGTTTGTGTTGGCTTTATCAAGTGGATTGGTAAAACTTAACCATTCCTGTTGGATGCACCCAGAAGAAAATCATAGGCCAATATTGAGCGAGGGGGCATTCCAGCAAACCCAGTGTTATTGCTACTGTGGTTTATTTTGTTAAGCGGTTTCTTTGGGGATTTTGGAACAGTAACTGCAGTCCTCCAGGGTCAAGGAAAGAATGGAAAAAAAACAGTATAAGATGTGTTCAGGGACCAGAAAGAAAATTTCTTTGCATCCTAGAAGTGGTAGCCATCCATTGTGAGATGACTACAGAGCTTCTGTGCTTCCTTGTTTTCATGCCAGTGTGCTGAGCATGCTCACAAAGAAGGCTCATCCATTCCTCTGGTGTTTTAGAATTTGGCCCAGGGGTTTCCTAAATGGCTGCATTGAAATCACTCACTGTGGTCCAAATGTGATTACTTACTCAAGTTGTCACTGTCTGTATCACACTTTTGCACCTGTCTTCCATCTCTGTTGCTCTCTTCTGCACTCTTGCTCAGTCTGTCACCTGTTCATAGTCTGCCTACTCACACTTTTTGCTGTTGTGTTTACAGTTTGCATTTTGGATAATTAGTTGGGGTTACCAAAAATTTTTAAAAGAAGCATTATCAATAAATATTTTTTTAATTCTATATTTTGCCATTAGGGGACCCTGCCTGAATCTTTGCCAATCTGAAAGGAAACTTTAACAAAAGCAAGAAAGTTATGAGAAGAAATAGAGTTAAAACTATTTTGGTGAAAACAAACTTTGCCTTTTGGTTTCTGTTATATCTTGTGGTATATGATAATTTGCATGATGTGCCCAATATTTCCCCTGCACATTTTTCCTTGTATCAAACTCCACTGACTTACTAAGGAAAGAGAGAAATGCCTTATTTGTGAAGAGTAGGTGGCAAATCCCAAAACTGAGTCTGGAAGTCCCCACCATCCATGCTCAGACATTCATAATTAACATTATTATGTGTTCACAGAAACATGGGTGTGATCATTGGCATCTTGACCTGTGTCTGCTCATGAGGTTATTTGCTTTAGCAGGAAGGGTGCTACAGGAGCTCTGCGGTCTAGCCAGTTGGTTTCTCTTTCCCCTCAGTTCCTCAGGGATACAAGAATGGCCCTATAAAAGCTGACTATCTGTATGACAGTTTTAACAATATCGTGACTAATGTTGACTCCTCAAAGGATCTAAACCTGTCAGCCATATCTCTCTTCTGCTCCAGACTTCCTCTGAATGGAATGTGAAAGCAGCCAGGTGAAGGTATTGGAGCAGTGGAAAGGGAATCTTGAGAGGGAGTAGGAGGGGATTCAGTGTTTCTGCCCAACTTGGGAGCCTAGCACCAGAGCTGAGGGAAGGGATTTCGTACCCATATCTCAGAGCCCAAGAAGCAGCTCCCTGCACCTCTCTCCCAAAAAACATAGAGGATTAGGGGAAAAAAATGAATTTCTAAAGTATAAAAAGATTTCTAAACCCTAAGGTTAGAAACGTTGGTGTGCTTTGGGGGAGGGGATATTTCAGGACATTAATATACAATCCACCATGTTCTTAGATCGTCCTCCACATGATCCAGATTGTTTATCTATGCTTTTTTTATCCAGATTGTTAAAAGACTTATTTTAATGCTGCAGGTCCTGGTTCTACTAGCACATGTAAGAATAAAATATGATTTTCTACATTAATGTAGAAAGCAGTCAGATGAAAGGGCCCTAGAAGTCTACACTATCTGTCATGATTTATCTTACTAAATTTATCTTAAATTCGATTTTATTCCCCTTTTAAAGCTCAAATTACTTGTCTTTTTCATTCCTCCTTCCCCTTCTTTGAAATTATCTTATAGAAAATATTCTGGCTTTTTTTTTGTTGTTGTTTTCATTTTTTTGAAACAGAGTCTCACTATGTAGCCCAGGCTGACCTCATTACTTTCAAAGTGAGACTTGCTCTTGGCTATACTTCACACACAGACCCAACACACACACACACACACACACACACACACACACACACAGAGGAATATACTTTCAAAGTGAGACTTGCTCTCCTGGCTATACTTCACACACAGAAACACACAGAAACACACACACACACACACACACACACACACACACACACAGAGGAATATACTTTCAAAGTGAGACTTGCTCTCCTGGCTATACTTCACACACAGAAACACACAGAAACACACAGAAACACACACACACAGAAACACACACACAGAAACACACACACACACACACCACACACACACACACACACACACACACACACACAACACACACACCCCCAATGTGGTTGGCAATAATTCAGATTCCTAGGTCACTCATTTAAACAAAACTAAAAGAAATATTTAGGGGTCATCTGTTCTAAAGTATGTTACTAGGTTTTCTTAAGTACCTGAACAAGTTAACATAGAACCCAGATTGATTGGTGAATGTAGACTCAAATTCTCCAAGTTGAATCTGTTAGTTGAATCATGAAAGAAAAAGTTTCATTGACCATATTATCCACCAGAATATCAAAAGTTCTGAAAATGCTGTTTTTCTACTCAAAAGAGTAGGTCCCTACTGTTAAGGCAAATTCTAGCCTTTCTAGGCAAGAAAAAAAGTCAAGTAGAGAGAACAAAATTCCAGGGGTGTACAGCACTGGCTGTATGTAGCCAGCAGAGACTTGTTCCTTTCTAAAACTTCAGGTCCATCATGCTTGGAAAAAAATACATTTTCATACTTATTTGCAATTTACACCAGCTGATGAGCATGTCAGGACTACATGGTCCATGCTAGTCAGGTGGAAAAGGTCCTGAGATGTGAATGTAATGCTTCTTGTGTAAGCATCTGGAGATCTTCCAAGACTTCAGTCAAGCTTAACATAGGACGGATCCTCCTTAAGAAAAGCTTATTTGCTCATTTGTCTGATTTCATAGCCACTTCAGAATATGCCTTTTACAATGAAAAGAAAAGTGAACAGAGAAAAGAGATTTAGAATAAGTAAGAAGGTATCCTCAAGTTATTGCCATAGATCTGCAGGTGCCAGGAGGAATTACTGCAATATCTCTAGAGAAGGTTTATGAATATACAGATCATCTCATTTCTAAGCAGCCTTCCCCTAGTCTCATCCATTATATTTTCTAGCATCATTTGTTACATCAGTATCTTTCAACATCTCCTTCATCAGTCCCATTGTGAGGTGAACCCAGCTTTTTCCCCCACCTATTTTGCCATTTTCTTCCCACACCGCTTTTGCCCTCTATTTAAGCCTGGATCTTATCCCCAGTAATACTGATTTATTCTGAAATGTTTCCAGTCTAGCTTAGCTTCTTTGAGTCCTTGTCCTGATCAAGGCAAATTATCTTGCACAGCTTTTGAGTTCAGTAACTGTCAAGTGACTTGATCTTTGATGTTTGCTTACTGAATTCAAATAGGATATGAGGAATAAAGGAATCTGATTTAAGCCTTTTTTCTAATATTTGGAATATTGGTGTGCTCTCAAGCACATTGTACTTTATATTAAAAAAATTCCTACTGTTCTGCTCTCATCTTTACTGGATATGAAAGTATTCCTTAATTTTTTTTTATGTTTCCTGTCTGATTTCCACATCCATTAAGTTGATTTACCAGACATTTAAGTTTCAAACATTTTAGAAGAAAACCTGGTAAATAATTTTATAATGCTTTATTTGGGTCTTTCCAGGGTATTTGGATTCTTCATTGTAGTCACAATGCTACAGTAGCTCAGTTCTTTTATTTCTTCTAATTACCTTGTGAAATGTGTTATTAGCTTAGTAGTTCACTGATGACATGAGGGACTAACTTAAGTTATGTGATGGAACCTGTCTTGGCTTGAAATTGTTGCAAGTGTGAGAGTTGTCACTGGAAAGGAGAGGGTAGCTTCCTGCCTGCCTGTATGGGCAGCATATCCTTAGGTGACAGGGTGTTGGCAAAAAATGAACCCTCGTGGGTCATGTTTGAGCCTTTTCCATGTAATGTTCATTGCACTGAAATATACCAGCTGCTTATACCAGTTGCTATCAGTGACAGGAAGTGTTTAAAGGAAAATGCTCTATTCTGCCTTTTTCCTCCATTTGTGCATGACTTAAGGGTAGGTGTCTATCCTTGTCCCTCCTGACTGACAGACTTATGAATTACCTAAGTCTTATTTGAGAAGAGGTGTAAGATGTTTGGTTGACAGTCCTTTACAATGACCAAAGAATTCTAAAGCAATAGGAGTATGAGGGAAACAAGGAATCCCAAGCTCTTCTCACCTTTACTTCTATTGTAAATTTTCATTGTAAGGTTTACCAGCTGCTTATACAGTTGCTATCAAGTGACCAGGAAGTGTTTAAAGGAAAATGCTCTATTCTGCCTTTTTCCTCCATTTGTGCATGACTTAAGGGTAGGTGTCTATCCTTGTCCTCCTGGACTGACAGACTTATGAATTACCTAAGTCTATTGAGAAGAGGTGTAAGATGTTTGGTTGACAGTCCTTTACAATGACCAAAGAATTCTAAAGCAATAGGAGTATGAGGGAAACAAGGAATCCCAAGCTCTTCTCACCTTTACTTCTATTGTAAATTTTCATTGTAAGGTTGGAAGATACAGAAAGTTGTATAAGACCTTATCAATAGGGTTTAATTAACCCAGATGATTTAACAATAAAATCTGACTGTAATTTCTATATCCAAATATCCTAATTTACCATCTTCTTCTCCAGCAAAGAATATAGGCTACTTAGGCACCAGCTGCTTTAACCTTGCCTTCTTACTTTCTGCCTGCTAAAACCACCATGTAAGTCAAATGAGGGGGGTTTTTTGTTTTTGGTGTTTTTTTTTTCTTTTTGTTTTTGTTTTTGCAGTACTGGGGTTTGAACTCAGGGCCTACACCTTGAGCCACCCAACCAGCCCTTTTTTGTGATGGGTTTTTTTTTTTTGGTGGTGCTGGGGTTTGAACTCATGGTCTCACACTAGCTAGGCAGGCTCTCTACCACATGAGCCACTCCTTCAGCCCGTGATGGGTTTTTTTGAGATAGGGTCTTATGAACCATTTTCCCCAGCTGGCTTCAAACTGTGTTCCTCCTGATTTCTGCCTCCTGAGTAGCTGGGATTACAAGTGTAAGCCATCAGTGCCCAGCTAGTGAGTTTTTTTGTATAAAGGGCTGCTACGGCCTCCCACTCAAGCCAAGTCTATCTGTTCTATTTACTTTTACTCTTAGGGACATCAATTCTGAGCTTCTGAAGCCTTCAATCCTTTGAGAAGTCAGTATATAATCTCTCAAGGTCACATGTGGTCACATGTACAAGGTCACATGTGGAATGTTACATATGCACTTCTGCCATCTCTTCCTCACATGTGTTTTGAGTAAGACCTTATGGAGTTTAGCTTGCAGATTTTGAGTCTCAGTGCTCCTCAGCCACATTGGTTTATTGCTCTTTCAGGAAGAAGAACCCACAAGAAAGCAAAACCCTGTCAGCAGCTCCATCTATTTTGTATGTTTACCACTGTCTTATTTTTGAAGAATTGGTATGGGGAAATGATAGGCAAAGTTCAAAGGGAAGGAGCAAGTTGGTTCTAAAACTGGGATGCTCTTCCTCAGGAACAGCATCTCTCCTGAGCACGAAGTGAATGCTCCTTTGTACCTAGGTACATTTACTTT